GAAAAAATTTCGAAAATTAGCGATTTTTAAATTTGTAATTTTTTTGGAGGTTTCCCCCTTTTACGGGGAACGAGGGAATTTTTTTCAATTTTTAAGGGTAATGTCTTCGACTAGATACGATTTGTGATCTTTTGACGTATCATTGAAAGAAATCGGTTCGGTGAGAGCTGAGAAAAAGTGGTAACAGACACACAAAAAAAAAAAAACACATCTTAGTAAAACCAATACCTTCTCAGCTTCGCATCGAAGCTAATATTAACTAAAATATAATTTATAGTCTTATTAATTTTTCTTGAATCTAGAATTGGAATTTAAAGCAACAGATGAAGAACCCCCAAGGCTAGTACACATTGAAAATTATCAAATGTAATAAAATTAATTTTGTTATAAATTTATGTTTTATAATTATTTACATTTACAGTATTACTTAGTAAATCTTTTAACTATTACTAAAGCATAAATATAATCAATCACACTATTATTTATTGGTTGTACACACCAATATTTAATATTTAATAATAAATATTTAATATAATATTGACATTAACAATTATAAAAATTTTAATTGAGTACCAGAAGGATAGCGGGTGCATTTATCGTCAAATATTTTTCAGCTATACTTTTCCTCTCACCTAGTTATAATAATGTGAATAACTTTTGAAATATTGATCCAAAAAATTATTATGTCTTTTTTATATTATTTAATAAATAAACGAATTAATTATAGAAAGAAATAATAGTAACATAATATAATTAACATTATTTACAGAATATCTTTAAATTTAACATAAAAATCACTCGTGACAAAGGTTCAAGTTAAATACTCGAATCATGATAAAAAGCGTGCAAGAAATTACAATATTTCAAAGTTTTTAAAAGTCATCCACTTCAAATTTCATTTAAATAGAAACTCGAGTTAGAGTGTCCTACATTTTAGCGCTGTATTTCAAAATTAACCGATTCTTCTTCCTATTGTACCAAGTTTTAATTTTTGACATCATTGCAACTATTCATTTTACATACTGCCGACTTTCAAGTACGGTACGCGACCTTTTTTAACGTTATATCGTTAAAAGATACTTAGGTAAATAAATCGAGTTTTTTCTCGTTATAAATACTATTGACTAACATATTATAACACTTAATATACTCAGAGCACACATATTTGGCATGCATTATTAATACACAGTAGGCCGCTAGAAATAAAATCAAGTTAAGCAGTAACACGTGAATGTTATATATGATGTCCACTGTCTACACAATCAGATGTCTGCAAGGTTCTTAATTATGAAGTGCTTAAATAGTTTATCCGTATAATCTTTCAAATAGCTTAAAATTTTATGTGTCACGTTATCTTAATAAAAAAAAAAAACTAGGACATTTAAACTATATACACTTCAATTTTTTTATGAATAGTATTGATAATTATCGTGAATTATAAATGTTAAGTTACCCGTTATGGTATCTTTTCCGTCCAGAACGTAACACTGACCAACAAAGGTGGCAGCTTGTCCGGTTTGGGGGTCACCAATAAAAAGCGAAATTGGCCCACGGTCGGCAAATAAACATTCACCGAACCCATTCCAACCGACTCCCGAAGATCGAATTTCAAATCTACAAAAAATATCCGGCACTTGTTTCACTTCGAAAACCGTCTCGAAATTTATGGAAAACCAAATGCCACTTATGGACTGACATATAGAATTATCTAAGCACCGGCTACGAGCAAAATCTACAGCTGGAAATTTGGTCGTGGTCTCGGATGTTGTTAATAGTTCTGCAGTGGAAGCTGACGACGGTAATGGTAGTTCACTATAAGTAAATACTGACGTTATTATTTCAGGAGTAAAAACATTAGGTGGTATAGTTTCCATGACTACATCTGTTGCTGCTTTTGATGGACTGTAAATTTCATTGTATTTTTCTAAAATATCATCCAGATCAGTTTTGGCTAACGTAACAGAAGAGTTTAAAACCAATACCAATGACAGCAGCAGAACAATCGATGCATTAGCATTAAAACCAAACAAAATATAGCTCATAATTCTTTAAAATTAAATGTATTTATGCAATTCAAACATATAAATACATAAATATTTGAAAACATTAAATAGTTTTTTCACAGGAATAAAATCGATTATATAAAATCATTGTTTATATTGTATGGCTAATGGATACCAACAATAACAACTCTGTTTTATTTATTAAAATCAAATTTCTTAGAAATAACGATGACAATACGAAAATGTTAGTTACATCTGTATTTCCCAATAGAACTCTTGTAAAATATTTAAAAAGTTTTTTTATTACAATATAAATTTTTTTCCGACTCAAATTTATTAATTTTAATAATTTTGAAAAAAGTAAAAATTATATAATAAACGTGTATCAATTGTGGCTAATATTATTTAAAATTAAAATGATACTAAAAATATTAATTTAAAAAGAAAACAATTTTTCAAAGAAAAGTCAATTTTTTACTCAAAATAACACAAAAACTATTCTAAAATCGTGAATACGAATTTCGGGAACAATGACATTATCAACGCTAAACATATACTCTTATGTTTAGCATAAGTATAAGTATCTAACAGTATATATTAATAAGAAATTTATCAATTTTAATTTTTAATTGGTTTTTGGATAGTAATGAACTATTTACACATTGTCAATATTTGAATTATGGAAATATATAATTAATATAACTAACAAGACTAAAACTATTCAATTAAACATTTCCAAAATATTTTATACATAAATTGCATTTAGACAATATGACAAGATGACTCTTTTAACGCTATCCACTTATTTCTTTTAAAATAATAACTTTCCTAATATAACTACTTTTTAAGAAAAATCAAAATGTCAGATGAATCACTAAGAAACTACTGTTGTAAAAAAAAATATTTCTACTAAGGTAGAAAACAAAAATGTCGTTTTTTATTCCTGGCTTCCAATAGTTCGACTACTTGTTGTCTTGTGTCCAAAATAAAGAAGTACTTGGCCGTTCAACAGTAAATAACCTAACCATTACATTTTTATTGTAAAACAGAAATTTCCAATTTCTATTTATTTAGAAAAACTCGTATTCTACCCAACTTCTTGATAATGTTAATCCAGAAGCAAAATATTTTTTTAGATATAAAGTTAAAAATAGAAAATTTTGCATCCTTATAAAATAAAATTTTGTGCTATGTTTAAAAATGTAAAAACCATACGAGTTAAAAAAATGTATTATTGCCAACTTTTTACTTATTGTATAAAAAATATCATTATTTAAATATATTTTGTAGCCATAAATATGCATTTCATTATAATTAAACTTAAAAAACAGTTTAAATAATATGTACTTATTTTATTTAGTTTAACAATATGTAAACATTTTTTTTTTTAATGAAATTATTCATGTGATATTCCATTTCACTTTTGATCACTAAAAAAAAAGTTTTACTTTAAATTGATGTTTTCTTTAAACTATTTACAATTATTTAATCATTTTTTTTTTTTAGTTTTTATTGATCGACATACTTTATTAAAATGGTGTAAAACAACTTGGCTGCATCAAAAAATTTAAACTAATTCTATAAAGCTAACATTTTCACAATATTTTAAATCAAAATGAGTAAAAAAAAAAATTTGAAAAATATATTAAGTTAAAATTCAGTTTCTAATTAAGACTTATAGTTCTAAGACGTAAGCTAACAAACACGATAGCTACCTTTTAAATGCTATTTTATCTTGTGCAGGGAAATATGTTATTGATCATAGTTTATTATTTAAAGATTTTAACAGATACATTTTAACTTGCATCATTATTCATGAATTAATCTTTATCAAAATTTCAACTCTAATATTGTTTGGTTAAAAGTATTTTTAGCGTTTCTAGTCAATATTAATTAATTCAGCTTGATAAAAATTAACCATTAATGATAATTATAGAAAAATTCAATTGACAAAATAAAATAATAATTAATAAAACGCTGCAAGGAAATAATATGATTTGACATAAAGCTTTTTAATTGATAAACCATTGTGAACATTCATCATTTAAGTTTTGATTTTAACAAATTATGATCATATTGGTTATTATTTTTATAACCATTATCTGAATACAATGTAAATAATTTCATTATAATACTCATTTATTAATAATTGTTACCTTAGCGTTTATCTTATAGTGTATGCTAATTTAAAATAAATACAGTGAACATATTTTCAAAAAAATACCTTAATTTTTACAATTATTTATTTACGTAATTGTAAATAGATTTTTTATCTAAATATTTTGAGAGTTAAACAAAATTATATACTTTTTTTTAGATATTTATCACACAGATGAAGCAATTAGAAGCCATCAGTTCTAAAAACTTTTTTATTTAATGGACTTTATAATCTTTAACTTTATAAAAACTCTGATGCGCTCGAATGTCTACCCTAATGGGTAATTCGGATTTTTATATAAAAAAAAAAAACTATATTGAACAAAAATCTGTACTTTTTTAAGCTGCTATACACTATAACAGCTATACAGTGAATAGCTGCAATGTGTTATCTTATGAACTTGAACGTTTATCCCGTAACGACAACAACAAAAAATAAGACAGAAATACTAAGCTGGATACTACTCTAAGTATTTTTTTACCGTTTTTTTACGTTGACAAAATAAACTCAATGAGCCTTACTGTTCATATCATAGAGCATTGCCGCCAGTGACGCCTGAACACGAGTGCTTTTATCACTAATAAATACCTGAAAAACTACTTTCTTTGAAAACTTAGATAACATTTCGTAATACAATAGTTGTTTTATAGTAAGTTGTGGTGAAACTGCTGCGATCAACACTTATGTATAAACTGATGTAATAATAATAACTGCAATAGTCTTAGATGTATTATAGAAAAGGGTAAGTATTTTAAACATTTTATCGGCATCACACTACAAAAGACTCAACAACAAACTGCAAATGATCACACATCACAGGCTTCGAAAAAGAAAAATGGCATTTGGCCTATATAAACAATGTAGTAACTCAAAAAACAAACTTCCGGTTCCGGATACGTCGGTTTGGCCAAGTCATAACATTGTGTTCTAATCATCTCTACATATAAGATACAAAATGTCGGAAATACCTGATACGGTTGGTCGTAGCCAACGCTATTGCGCACATTTTGACTTGGACGTATCCGTTTTGAAGGCCAAATTCTTTCACATGATATACTCAATTAATTTTTTGCCACGCAATACTTTAAATTGTCCCTTTTATCTGCAAATGAACAATTGTCTACGTTATATATTTTACATTTGATGTCTCTCATTGTTTGTATCTCTCATTTTTCCCTAGGGTGCGATTAAAAAAAATGTCCTGGTTTAAAAAAAAAATATTTATACATCTCTGCATTTTTTTTATTTACATTTCCTTGAGGAAAACTTGTAAGATATTTGACACCGTTGCTCCGCTGGGTATTGCTACGACTGACGCATGAAACGTAATACTAAACGTTAAATGAGTGAAGTAAGCTAATGACTGTATAGTTATTTGTAAGCATCTTCACACCAATAAAATTTATTAACAAAAAGTAAAAAGGTCTAATGACTTGATGTATATCTCACGCCATTTTAAAAAGCACAGCAAGATTTCTATGAGTCAAAGAAACAAATGCTAAGTAAAACTAACCACTTACTTTTATTTTTATTCCCACAAGAAACGCAAAAAAAAAAAGAAGAAAAGTTTAAAACTTCAATGGTTTCAAATAATTTAAAAGCATTGACAGATTGCAAGACAGTCGTTGATAAAGTATGAACCTTATTTAAGATTAATGATACTGCCATTTTTTTTTTACAGTAAATGATACTCTAAAAATATTTAAAAAAAAATATTATTCATCAATAATTAATGTTGCTATTCTAAAATATACTGAACAAATATTTGTAAACAATGAAATATATATTTTTTAAATTATTAAGTATTATTTCTATAAAATATTGACTTAAAAATTTCTATATACTAATATTTAAAAAAAAATTTACTCTATTGCAGCAACTTCTAAAATTATCGGTCTTATCATTTTCTATCACAAGGCATTTGATAATTTTTAACTTATCGTAAAGCAACATTATTTGACAAAGAACCTCAAATTTGATACGTTCAAACATCAAAAAAGAAAAATTGTGAATAACATATCTTACCTTAAAATCCGTCGTGAACAAAACTGTATACACAATATATGATCTCGTTTTTTCGAGGAGTGTTAAATTTGTATAAATTAATTTAAATATTTAATAAAATATTCGATTTAATCGTTAATTTTATTCATCTCATCCCATATCACAAAAACATATAAGTTAAATTAGTAACAATTTTTAAGACTTATCTTTTCTAAAATCATGTAAAACTATTTTATCATATTACTATATTATATAACATGTATATAGTTAAACAAACAAAAATACAATTAAATAATAATTTTCTATTAATATACTTTAAGAGAAATTAAGTGAAGATAAAATGAAAAAAATATATAAGAAGACAAAGTTTAACTTTTTTTGATAATTAACATATATTATTAATATGATAGTAATATTTAAAAAAGTCCATAAATAATTTTAAATCGCAAAATAAACCGTTTATTACAGTTTAATGTTAATAAAATGATTATTTATAATTCGAAGGGGTTTATGAAAAATAATTCAAAAGTATATACCTGACAAGGGACATAAGTAAACATAAGTTCATCAATATTTACTTGAAGTTATATGTCATAAATGTTAAAAGCTATACGTAGGATCATGAAAGTTTTACATAGAAATTTATTTACAAGTTGTTTTATAATTTATTTTTTGACGAAAAATTCCATCAGTTATAATTTATATATGGAGAACAAATGACTTTGGATAAAAAATTAAAAACTGTGTCACTGTTGGTAATACATTTCCATTAGAAATAATAAGATAGACGTGTGCGATGTAACATCCAGATTGCATGTGAATAAAAAAATGTATAATATACATAAATTTCATTAAAGCTAATGAGCTCCGTGTAAACTGTAACACATTTTTCTCTTGATACAGTTTTTTATTATATGACCATCCTATCTAGTATTATACAGAATATAAACTGTATTTCTTTAGAACATCAAAATTTACTCTATTTTATGTGCATTGAATAAGTCTAAATAATGATTAATGGGATGTTGTGTGGTTTTTATCGTGCACATTTTTCACCAATGAGTAAATTGAGCTTAATGATCTGGCTAAATAGATTAGCTTATTATTCTACTTAGATTACATTTTATGATAAATGAAAAACATTTTATTTTGGCGGGAAAGGATGATATCACTATTTAAAAACGTTAAATTTAGCTCACCCCTTGATTATAAAGAAGTATCCCTTGAATAAGTTGATTTTTTTTTGATTTGCATCAATGAAAAACTCTACTTAAGTTGACAATTATTTTTTAACATTCGTCTGAGTAGATAAAATCATTGACAACGTGGGCGAATACGAACGTGAAGACGTTTTGGTCTCACTACAAAGGCGGCACTCGCAATTCACAACATCCGGCCCGGAGGTTCGTCGTAACGATACTGGCAAACAAGCACGTCATCATTATAAGGCCCTTCCCAACAGGGTTTCGCGCATATCAGATCGGTTACAGGACAAATTTCAAAAATTCTCAAAATTTATACATTTATCGTTTACCATAGTACGTATGTGATCTCAAAAAATCAATAGGTTGAAGCAAAATCTTCAAGCTATTGAAGATAGCTTTCAATCTTTCAAATTAGATTTTATAATATAAAATTTAATTTGAAATTTTTTTTAGTGTTCATTACATAATAATATTATTAGATATTATACATAGATAGATGTTGTCAAAAAAATATCTTGTACTTTCATGATTTTATATAGCGGTATTTTTGTGACGAAAAATTCGATTTTCTTATATCTATTTCCTCTAATCAAAATCTGCGACAAATTCATGTAAAAAAAAAACTGAAAACAAAGATTAAGCAAAATTGTTAATTAGAAATATGATCAACATATTAGATATTCAATGTATAATAGAAAAAATGTATTTGTTTGTTCATTACATTCATAGATACTCAAATTGTAACCTAATTTTATGTGATTCATTTCGAATGAAAACATATATTCAGTTAAATTGATTATTGCAAGTTTAAATAAAATTGTCTTAAATAATTAATAATTTTTAATTAGAGGGAACCTCTACTAAATATATTTCTACGAAAGAATATAAATAATTATTGAGTTTTTTGTTTACCTCAGCATTCAATGAGTTACTACCAGTAATTAAATCATAATTCTATTACAAATTCAAAACCAGACAACTGAATTTAAATTGTTTTTTTTTTTTTTTGATTTGGTTTTCTATTTGAAAATCGAATGAAATAATAACATTTCAAACATAAATACAATGCACAGTTAAGATAAAATTTTTAGGTAAGTAATAAAAACAATCATTCGTTTAAAAATATTGTACTCTTAGTTACGAAAAACTATTTCTACTGTTTGTATTTTTAGGAAACTCAATATTTGCAAAATAATAAAAGCATTCATATTACATCCATATTTTAAGTTTTTCAGACAAAACACAAACGAATTGTTTTTTATCGTTATTATTAAAAATAAAAACATGGTTACAAAGACCTTTGACAACAATTTTTTACAGTTTTCAACTTGAAAATCGTTTATTTTTCTAAAATTTAATGGAAAATATACACTGAAAGAATATTTTAAAAACAATTATTCATTACTAATGTCTCGTTGATTCGTAGTAAAAATATATATAGTTATTATTATAATACATAGAACTAATTTTTAACTTGGTGTAAAAATAATTAATTAAGAAACCTGTGAAACAACTGTTTTATTTATTGTTAGTATGAACGATTGATTACGATATTATTTGTAAGATAATATTTTTATAAGTCTTAGCAGTTCCAAAAAAAACATTCATCATATTAATGTCAACATTTTGTAACATAAGCTTTAAGTGGTATACAAATGTTGTAATGATAATTTGATTGCGAGATATATTATTTTTAACCGATTTCTCCACTTTTATTTCATTAAACTGTGTCTTAGATTTCAATACAACATTTGCATGATGTTGATACAATTCTGAAATACAGTTGGGATTTTGGGGGTTTGTATCCATTGTTTCCGTAGCATTGCAGTGCATTTCGGACTCTGAACAAATTTTATTTAATTGATTTATAAGCTCTTGTTCGGTGGTTTGCTTTTGAATTGAAAATTCTTTAATGTCACAACTAAAAAAATTAATTAAATTTCTTAAGGTTACATTATTCTTTAAACCAAGAATAGACGTAAAATCACACAAATCTTGTAGAATTTTCGAATTTACTGATTTAACATAAGTCGTGCAAACTTCGTCAGTCTTGTCTTTAGTACAGAAATTTTTAATAACATCATCCATTAATATTAAATGAGTCCACGTCATTCTCAACATAATTATTGTCATTTGATCTACTAATAAAGTGTTAAATTTTCCTAACCAGATGAATTTCTCATTAAATTTTTTAGCTTTTGCTTCGTTTAAATAGTAATTTAGTAACACACTAGCATCTCCCCACTTCATATGTTTGATGTAGTTTTCTCGCAAATATCCAACATCGCTGTAAATGCGATCAATTATTTGTTCATCAATAGCATCTTTATTATCTAATGACAAATACCGACAATTGTCAAAAATAATGAAATCACTGTTATTAATCACTGGGTGTTCTATTTTAGCAAATTGTGTTCGAATGGCTAGGGCGAAATATTTTTTTAAATTGTCAACGCTTTCCCTTTTCGGCTTATTAGTGCGGTTCAATTCATTGTAAACTTTATAAAATGCGCAAGATGAATTTGTGATGTCAAATATGCTGTCTCCCGTGCATTTTTCAGTAGACTTTTCTAGTAGTCTCATAATCCAATTATTTAATTTAACAACCGCTGACGTGGGTATGGTGTCATACTCCAAAGACCACGTCTTTATATTCAAGTGGAATAACCACATGTCGTACAAATCCCTGTAATTTAAGTTGTAGAGCATTTGTAACATATTACGACTTGTAACGCTAAAATATCGTTTTGTAAACGCTGCATAGTAAACTACGTTAGAAGTAGCCAATTTTACATCTTTCATTTCCAAAGTTATTATTCGCATTATCGACAGAGCTATTATTTTTATACCACATTTGAGATTTTTCCTATGTTCATTTATTGTCATTATTTCCGTCATTGATTTTGGTACTCCGACGTTTGGTAAAACCTTAGAAGTAACATTATTATTCTTATAGCCAATGTTTACTTTTTGTAGATCTTTCAGACACTCATCAGGTTGAATCAGTAAAAGTGAAACAGCGAAGTGCACACTAATTTGAAAGATATAAACCAGGAAACATTTACACATATTCATGTTTTCTAACCAGTTCTTTGCTTTTTTTAAATCAAATACAATGAAAATACTATTATTACGTCGCAAAATAATGTTACGTAGAAAAACGTTTTATTTAAGTACTACTACGTACGTTTTTCTCCAATTTTATTAATAATACATTTTATTTCAAAATTAACACTACACATGTGTTATGAAAAGTTTGCAAACTGAAAAATTAAAAATAATTTTATGTATACCAACTAGAACAATAAAACATTATCTAAGTAATTTGTTACAAATTTAAACATATTACTATTTTATATTGAGCTTAAATATTGTATTTACATAAAAATATGAACATAATTTTTTAATTTAATTTTGTATAAATTACTATTTAACAAATTAAAATATGAGCATTAAAATACAATTATATCAATGGTAATTATATCAATTTTTATATAATTTTGTTGCTAATCTGAATATGATTATTTATGATAGTTATAAGATATTTCTGGTGTATAAATTTAAAATGCTGAATAGTTATTAACTGTTCGATTAATATTTATTCATAATAACAATTTAATTCATTTGTTAGCATTTATGCTCTGATTTGTCTAATTTTCAATTGATATGTATCAAATATTTATAGAAGTAAACTGGTATAATAAAATACACTTCTACAGATATTTTTGAAATAATTTTGCAAAATTTGAACAATAATCCAAGAAGTTAAAATACCCTAACCTTTAAATGTTGGATAAAAATTCATAATTCTTTTACTCTTAGGTAAATGTAAAATTATTTTTGGCTGAAGAAATGGACGTTTTAGCATTGTAGTACATTTTTTATAGTTTTTGTTTTTGTATGATGTACTATTATTCGGTTTTAAACAGTTGTTACTGATATAGGTAATTATAAAAGCTTCCACACTTTCAGAAATTAAAAATACGCGTTATCTTGTAAACAAAAGCTGATAGGATAATTCTAAGTTTATTTTCGGAGTCAGTGATCATTAAATTCTTGGAAATGACTAATCACGCCCATGCATCTGACAACAGTTTTTTTTTTTTGTGTAATATTTGTAAGTTTTACTAGAGTATTTTTAAATATATAAATATTTACAGATTTTTTTTAAGATTATTCCAATCAGTAAACTACATTTTATACATTTACAGTAACATAATTACGGTGTCATTCTTGGGAGGGTAAACATAAGACAATATTTACAATCATGTAAATAATATAGTCCTGGCGTATCTATCCTTGTCACCCTACTAAATTATACTTCTGTTACTTGTACAATACAAAAACAATTTTCAGTGACAAAATCACCTAAAAGTAATTAATTTTGCAAGTCATAAATGATGTAGGAACACTAGTGGAAGTTTATACAGATCAATTATTTAAGAAGCAATAAAAATTTAACAAAATCAGATTTTGCCATTTTATTCAGCATGTTTTGAAGGCATATATATCCTTTACATATTTTCAACATTTCAAACTAAAATAAGAGTTATTTATTTATTTTAGTTTAGTTTATTTAATTTTTTTTGTTAAAAAATATTATTTTAACATAAAAAGGTAAATTTTAAGTGTTTTTTGGAAAACAGTAAATGAATTTTAATTAATACTTTTATTGTTACAGCCCTTAACTGATATTTTAAAACAGGATCACAAAAATATTTTTTACACAAAAGTTAAAAATTATAGTACAAAGATAAAATGTTTTCTTTTTATTATTGTTAAATAAAATATTATTATCACGATAAAAATATTACCATAATAAAGGATAATTAATTATCAAATAAAAATAGGACTCAAAACAGAAAAATCTGAATTTTATAAATTTATAGTAGCCGATCAATAAGTTTTTTACAAATTCTAGAGATCATTATCATGACTTATTTATAACTAGCTATAAAAATACAAAATTTTCCTCTGGATTTGTTTTCTGTGTATTCTAAACATATTTATATGTTTTCTAATTGTTCGTTTGATCTGTCGCTTTCGTCGTATATGATTTATTTATGATAATGTATTTCCGTATAACACCATGTTTCTAAATATAATTTTCTACAACTCGTATCATATTTTAGTCGTAAAATAAGGTTTGATCAAACAGTTGCTACACAATTATTTTATATTTATTTTAGTAACTACGTAAGAAATCAAACAGAAAATTCATGTTCGGAGTATTTACAAACGCATTGTAAAATGTTTAAATATAATTTACCATAAAATATTATAACCATTTCTAAATTTACCAACGAATTTATTGGGTATTAACGTGACGACAAATGTTTGTAATAAAGACAATATAAAATAAGAACAACATTTTTATTGTATAAAAATATAATAATAAATAATAAATTAAATATAAGTCGTAACATAAAACATGTAAGTAATAAAAACTTTACTAACAAGAGTTTTAAATAATAATACTAAGATAGTGGTGTTATTGATTAATTATTTAATAACAATAGTAAATCTCTTTTTAAAATTCTCTTGGTCGAAAATTAACGTAAATATAGTTAAAATTACCAAAACAACTTATTAAAAAATTGAACATTAACTTTTGAGTTTGGATACTATAAAAATTTTGCTTTGATTATCTAAAAAGAATTCTCTAACCGCGAGAATTCTGATATGATTTATTAATTAAAGTTTGTTTATTAATGATTCGGTGATTCATTGATTTAATATCAACGAGTATTTTTTCGCGGTCCCTGAAAAATTAACGGAAAATAAAAATAATAATGACAGACCAAATGAGGAGAAAAAACTATAAATCACCCATTAGCTGCTATAATGCTTCTAACGGTTGTCATTTTTTACGGTTTCCGAGATGTTGTTATTATTGATTTAGGATACTATCGGTAGTTGTATCGTTTTATGTTTGCAGCCTTTTTTAACAAAATAAAAAAAAAAATTGTTTCTTCCTTGCCGCCAATACTTATCTACATTTTTATACATATTTTTCATAGAAGGAACTAATATTTGTCGACAACGATTGACACTTAATAAAGTAGCGTTATTATATTAATGTCTTGATATGTATAAGTCTTATCACAGACCGTGTGCAGAGTACACACAGTACACAGCTTGATGTGAGCGGTCATGTCAGTAAAACAGACCGAGTCATTAAATTTAAGGGGTTTATATGAATTTATTATTTTAAAACTGATAAAATAAACTCGAACTGTTCTTCTGGCATACATTTCGCTGAAAATTTAGTGCAACTAAATTAAATCTTAAGTCGAGCGGTTATAATGACACCAAATCGCCACCGGATGCATTTTTGCCTAAAGCAGTCTCCAGTACCACTTCTTTTGCTTTTTCACCATTACACCTGGGAAAAAAAAAATAAAAGAATATTATAATATGTTTATTCAATTAATTTTCACATTTTTTTCTTTTTCAAAAAAAACTTGTAAATGTTTATACAATGTATAATCAGATAGTTAAATCGTAAAACGCAAAAGTAATATTTGCAGTATTTTAAACTTATCGTTATACAGTATGGTTGATAGCAAACGTGTTATGAACGTGTAATTTTCACTCAAAAAGTGTTATTCAAATATGTTATATGATTTAACGAACATACAAAACTAACAGTTCTTCTTTATCACATACGCATAAACAACAAAGCTCTTAAGTATCTAAAACGTTTTTTTAATGAGAAAACTTAAATTGCCCAATTAAAACGCACCATCTTTAAGATAGAATTCCACTTTAACAACGAGAAGAAGACGCGTATTACTTACTTGGTAATTACTAAAACACAACAGTTGTATTCATACACCGAATTTACAACTTGTGTGATTAAATGTATCTAAATATGTCAACCTACAACGCTTCGAGTAACACAATTATGTAAATCGCGTAATAATGAACAATACGCATTGTTTATTCTAAAAAAATAAATACAACAAATAGCACAGCTGTATGTTTACAAGAATCCTTTTACTTGTTTCACTGGCCGTACAGCACAAAACTTTTGACAAATAGGATTTATACAGTTTTTTGAAATCTCCCGTTTCCGGATGTATAAAAACAGCACTGATACTCAAAAGTAACAACACAGCTCGTCTGAACATCGGTCAAAAGTCATCATTCCTAGTTTTGAATGTTGACCACGTACTTCAATAACAATCTTTAGATTGTAACGGCACCGACCGCTCTCGTACTAAAGAAGTTCAAGTCGACAAGGTTAAACGTTTAAAAAAAAATACATTTCCTAGTGCAGTTTAAGTCAACATGACTGGATTTCATTGCAAGCAGCGCTACAACAAAGTACATCACCTCCCGATTCGATCTTATATATTTTTAATTCCTACGGCGACCGGCTGGAAAATTCGTTGCAGTAAATCTATGGTACTTTGTTATTTAGATGTCACTCACGCGGCACTGTAGCAGTTTTCCGATCTAGCAATTACATCCGCGGCACTCAAGCCCAATTACTGGGGTAGTTTAAGTACAAGCAGTGCTATAAAAATAAGTACCATTTATAGTTTTTCATTGATAGCATCGACTTAAACCTGCGGGCCTTTCCGGTCCACGAGAGGACCTAATGGTTAGCTCCCATAGTCAAATTGTTTTTGGGATAATTCAATGTTTACACGTAATGTGCAATTTAAGCGAAACTCTCCGGACGTCGATGGCGCAAAGGAAATACTTGATGTTAAATACACAAGCAATTACGTGCCGACTGGGCTAAGGCAAATAATGGAAAATCAGTTCGAATTTGCAGTCTGTACTCGTAACTCGCAAATTCAAAATTACAAACTGCTGAACAAATAGTCGATGGTAAGTATTGAAGTTAATCCATTAACCGTTAAGACGCCTCCAGTAATGGAAATTATTTACATCTATTGTTTTTATCCGTTACCGTTATTTCAACTTTGGTCATTTTAATATTAATTGTCCACATTTTACATTCTATAATTTTCTAAAAATACACTTTGAAATTATTTTATGATGTGTTTTTTTTTCTTCTGTTTTCACTTTTTCACAGATATCCCCGAACCGATTTCTTTCAACGATACGTCAAAAAATCACAAATCGTATCTAATCTAAGACATTAACCACAAAAATTGAAAAAATTTCATTCGTTCCCTGTAAATGGGGGAAATATCCGAAAAATTACAAATTTAAAAATCGCTAATTTTCTAGATTTTTTTTTATTTTTTTTTTACTTAAAAATTCCATAACTCTTTTAAAAATGACCAAATCAATACAACTTTTTTATTATAGATACATGATGTATTTACCTATCATTTTATATATTTTTTTTTGTAAATCTGAAATTGAAATCATTCATTTCTAATATTTTTAAAGTATTTATTGTCAAATTAGGTTTGATATAATAATAGGTTTCAACTACAAAACTAAATAATTTTACTTTGTAATTTATTAATTTTTTAACTTTATTATTTGTGTGTGTTATTATCAGTCTATAATATTCCAAATTTTTTGGTAACATGTTACTATATAAATCATAAATCTAAAAAAAAATGATTTTTAGTTTTATTTAAACAAAACAAATTTTACAATTATAATCAAATTTTATATTACGCTCAATTTTTTAACATTATTTTGATTGGTTTATTTAGTTAAAGTAAATCATTAAAACTAATTAATATTTTAATTGTACTTCTTTTTAAACAACAAAAGTTATTTAAAAATGATTACTATGCTTTCTATTTAAGTGATCAGTTAAAATAAGAATGCCAAAATTATTTTGAGCTTTTCTGATAAATTGTAAATATACAATTTCCTAACCGCATATTAATCTTAACAATACTATTTTTTTAACTATCATAAAATGATCTATTTAGTAATATAAATTTTAAACTTGAAGTAAAGCTAAAAGTTATTGTAACAAATTCACCATTATTTTTATTATAAACTTTCAGATTTGCATCGAAGCGTTTTTTATAGTAGTGATTTTAATCACTGTCAGATATCATTTATACTTGTCCCAACTTTTCCACGCCCACACTGTACCGTGACCCCTTGTGCTACCGTCTTTTATAGTAAAATGTTACTATTTTGATATAAAAAAATGTATGTGTTTCGTTCATTTTTAAAAAGTTATGGCAGTTTTACATAAGAGTTAAACAATTGTCGATAACTACCGATTATAAAAATCGTATTTTTGTATTAGTTGTCCTCCATTTACAGGGAAAGAGAAAAAATTTCAATTTTTAAGATCAAAGTCTTCAACTAGATACGTTTTGAGAACTTTTCACGTCATGTTGAAAGAAATCGGTTCGGCGAAAACTGAGAAATAGTGATGACAGACATAAAAATGCTCATCATAGCAATATTAATTGCTTCTCAACTTCTCATTGAAGCTAAAAAGTTATCCCAATAACAATTTTTCTAAGCACAAATTGCTGCCGCAGTTAAAATCATGATATACTAGTGTTGAAATACCCAATTTTATATTTTATTTTTCAACTTTATAGCGTTTTATTAAACAACTCAAGTTCTCTCTTTTCATTTATTTAATTAAGCCGTACGAAAATTTTTTTAGGTTGCATACGAAAAGTCTAGGTGACAACAATTTTATTTAAAGAAAATTATTATAATACCACATATGTTATATCAAAATTGTTATTCATATTATTTATAAATGTAGAACAGAATAAATACGTGTATTTTGAAGCTTTATTAAATTATATTTTGTTCAAAAAATTTCAACGATAAATATTATTAATTATTTTCAAAATGTTTTCATTAAAACTTTTCATGTTTATATTTTTAATATTTTATATGATTTTATATACAAAAGCACAGAATTATCCAATAAATACAAATGAAAAATTAGATAATTTACTAAAGTATCAAGGATGGAAAAATTTAAATGATGTAAGTTCAATAAATTATTGTAAAAAAATATATTATGTTAGAAATCTGATTGAAACACCTTCATCTGTTCATAAAGGCGACCAAAAGATTCGAGCCTTGACTATATATCTTGGTTGTATATATGCAAAAGTTATGATTAATATTTTTCTAATTATTATCAAATGGCAAGAAATTTGTAAAAACAAAAATAAAGAAGACCACGACTTATTAAATGGATGCATTTATGCTAAAGAACTCATAAACATAATAGCCAAATTAATTGTTCCAATAGCAACATTGTTAAAAGGCGCAATGGACGCTTTAGATTCATTACATCAATTTCCATGGGCTCATTTTAAAATGTTTCGCAATAAGCCCTTCATGATAATACTTTTATTGGATAGAATAGGATATATTCTTGACGAATTGAATGATCCTAATCTATCATGTGATGATAGATCTACAAACTCTTCGACATTTGAAAGTGTATATAAATTTTTTAAAAGCATAATAGCACTTTTACAAGTTGAAACTGGTTTATTTTGTGAATTTGTACCTTCTAATAGAAATTATTTATGGAATGAATGGGTTCAAGAATATAGAATCATTAACCAGGGAGAAATGTTAATATTTTTTAAATTCTTAACTAGAAAAATTAAATATTATATCAAGACAGTGATCATAGAATTGTATTTTCAATTGGGATTTAAATTTGATCCAATTACCGAAGAAACGTTTTTACCGACACCAGAGGAGCCAATTGACCTAGGTATTTGAAATAAAAAAATTTTAATTAAAATATTAATTTATAGTTTTATAATTTTTTTTATGAATCTAGATTTGGAGTTTAAAGCAATAGACGAAGAACCTCCAACACCAGTGCAAATAGAAAATCATTAAATATTGTAAAAAAATTAATTTGTTTTTACATTTATGTTTTATAATTAATTATAATTTTATAATAATTTACGGTATTACTTAGTAAATATTTCAATTATTATTAAAACAAAAACATTAATGGTGAAACACGTAATTATTTATTGGTTGTACACACGTAAATATTTAATATAGTATTTATATTAACAATTATAAAAATTTTAATTAAGTACCAGAAGTGAAGCGCGGTTGATTATATCGCCAGACATTCCTCGGCTATATACTTTTTTTCTCCCCTAGGTATAACAACATAAATAACTCTCTTTTATACTTAAATTGTATTTATTTTCATACTTTCACCAAGGTCATTTCTAACTGATCAAGCTAAATATTCCTCAAAAAAAAAAAAAAAATACAATAGACGACTTTTCTTCAAATCAATGACGCGATAACATCACAGTCATTATCATTGCTAAAACACGTAGAAAGTAAAACGATTTGCTCTATTTCATTTCGATTTTTTGATCCTCTAGTTAACTACTACAGAAATATTACCTTGATCTTACAAAATATAGTCATGACCTCAATGCAAATTTCGCAATAATCAATTGATGCCTATGAATATTTAGAGAAACGCTCTGATTTATCGTCATTTCATACTCAAAATAGGCGAGTTATTATTTCTGGTTCATCAATCAACTAGCAAAAAAGTTTTTTTTATAATAAATATCCAAATAATATACTCTTCAAAGAATGGTTTTTCTGTGAATATGATTTGTGATTATCGTGTAATATTTCTGCATTTGTGTTTTTATTAAACTTTATTGAAAAACCTTAAATGGATTATAATAATAACGTAAGCCTTTTTATATGAACGGGAATTATCAAGAGTCATATGTGTGCACCACAATTGATAACGTATAATTAAATATAGACAGTACTATACACGCCATAATAATATAAAAATACAACTGATTTATTGAATAAATTTAATTAAATTCCACATTTTTGTAAACTATAAAGAATTAACAGATATGTATCAGTTAAAAAAATTTTCAGAGTACTCAAAGGTGTAAAACATTTATATATGTTCTAAAGCCCAAAAAAAAAAACACACAGCACAGTGGGGATGTGGCATAGTTGGGACTAGTATAAATGACATCTGACAGTGATTAAAATCATTACCATAAAAACGCATCGATGCGTATCTGTAGATAGTGTTTAATTTTAAGAAATTGGCGGATGATTTAAAAGCATCATTAACTACTTACTACTTAATTATATTCTGATTGGTAGTTCCTTAATTTAAAAATATAATTACATATTATTAAATTTTTTTTTAATTTTTTAATTTTTACAAAAAAATTTTTCTCTTTTCTTTAACATTGATGTCCGTTTTGCCACGAATATAACTCCAGAAGTCTAATAGTTTTTTTTTTAAATAAATTATATTACATAAGCTTTAATTTATGATATATTTCTATAAAAGTATCAGTATTTTCAAAATTTAAGTTGAAAAAGTTCTACATTCTATATACATGTTTAAAGTTTTGACCCCGCTATATAAATGGAAATGGTCTGATTTAAAAAATAGTATGTCGGATAAAAGGGGAGTTTTCAAAGTATTTATAAAAATAAAACTATATTGATTCATGCATTTAAAAAAAATCATAGTAATATAAAATCGAGAATTTTAACACGAAATAGCTAATATTTAACTACGGCAGTCATATGCACATAGAAGTTCTGAGAACAATTTTTTTTCCATATACTAGTGTACAACATAAAATATAATATAAGATAAATATGAAAATATCAGTATTTTGAAACATTTTCAAAAGTTAAGCGGAAAAAATTTATTTTTCGCAAAAGTTCCAATTTGAATTTCACATTTTGATCAGGTAAAAAAAAAATTAAAAATAATTATCTACGGTATCTTTTAAAAAAATTCTTTTGATTCACCAATTTTTCAAAAAACTATGGTAATTTTAAATAAAAAAAAATTTTAAAATATCGAAAATTACCGATTTAGAAATAGAAACTTTTTTATGATTTTCCCCATTTACGGGAACGATGGAAATTTATTAATTTTCGAGGGTAATATCTTTGACTAGATACGATTTGTGATGTGTTGACGTATCGTTGAATAAAATGAGTTCGATAATAGCTGAGAAAAAGTGGTAACAGATAAAAATAAATACATAAAAAATAAGCACATCATAGTAAAATTACATTTAGTAAATAATATCTTCTCAGCTTTGCGCCGAAGCTAAAACTACTTCAAATGTTAGGGCATACAAATGATTTATCTTCAACTAATTATTATGTTTGACGAATATTGAAATAATAATAATAATAATTGAATAATTTTATTATCTAGAGCATAGATCAATGTCCGGCCTCAAATACCCACATATAATACTATGCAAGCATAATACATCATCAGTTTGCTCCTATTAAGTCACACTCTATTGACGTCAAATTTTGTTTTGCATATATTGTTCATATTGTACCATTATCATTTATTATGACTTGTCTTGGTTATGTAATGAAACACAAATATCCTATCCCCATTTCCCCCTTTAATATTACATATGTCCTTTGATTTTTTTTTTCTATTAAATTGGAGTTTTATACATATAAACGGTTTACACAAAAACGTACAATAGAATATAAATGGTGTTCTATTACGATTTAAAAGCATTGTTCACATAGTCAAAAGTTATACGCAAAACAACTTGAGATGTAAGATGGACAATTGTTATTATTGTAGTTGTCACACGATATGTACCTGTTCGTTTATTTCCTGTTTTATATATAAAAAAACAAGAATTGGACTGCTGTAGTATACGGAAAACCAGGACAATACAACCAAATTATAATCGCTCTTTGAATATGCAAATATTGTAATACTTTGAGAACAAAAAGTGTAAGGCATCGTCCAAAATATATATAAAATTATAACTCTTCAACGCTAGGTACATCACAGTATCACGTAAGTCACGTTTTCCGTAGTGATCTTGTTAATCATTTTACAGATGACCTACTCAGATTAATCTGTACTTCACCGAAGTCAGAATAAATTTAAAAAGCATTACATAAATCAATAACTATAAAATAACCAAAGTATAAAATATTCTTTATTTAAATATTTACTTATTGTTTACTAATAAAATAATGAAAGTAAGAAAGAGTCAAAAACAAATTGTTTTTTAAATTTAGCAAAAAAATAAGTCAAATAACATTTTTTCCGTACTCAGAAATGAGTTGACCTCTTTTTATACTTACACCTACATTTTCACACATTTAACAATCATAATTTATTTCTTCAATTATTAAATTTCCCATGAGTTGTCTTGTCAGCTATTTGAAATTCACACAAAAAGATTTCAACACAAATAAAAAATCACTTCCACTTGGATGTATGTCACATTATTTCCCAGTTACTAAATCTACTGATATGTAAAGGAAACTATTGTGCTCTGATTTCAAACAATTGTTAATTTAGACATTTTTTACAGCAACAACCAGATCACAAATTTTACACGAGAATAACGAATAAAACCTTAATCTTGGGATTCTATTGAGTGAAATATTGAGTGAATAGATAGCAACTCACTACAATTACCCTGACTTTTTCATTCAATTAAAATTATCCGTTAAAAATATTCTTATGACAACAATTATTTGTAATAAACAATTTAATTCCAAAAACTTCAATCAAAGATGTTAAGTAAAATGACTCGAAAGCAAAACATTTTAATGTAATTTAATATTAATAACGACCGTTCACTTTATATAAAGACAATATAGGTTTTTGTGAAACTATACATTTTTAAAGTAATTTCACTTTTAATCCGGAAGTGTTCGAATGGTTGGTTAAACAAGAACAAAACTTATAAAAATCCTATTTTTAACCTCAGACAATTATTTTCAGAATATTATTGTTTAGCGATTAATTTTGAACAATAAACAATTATTCCCGTTAAATAAATACGTAGAATGGTTATCATTCTGGATGACAAACTTCAAAGGATGTATTTCCGTTCTAGAACTCATGAGAACTATAACGAATAAATTTTTATGTGTAGTAAGTTGCACATAATAATCGAAAGAAAAATATGTATATGTAAATGGATATCTGGTCATTACTATTATTTTATTGTGCACAAAACATAGTTTCAAATTAAACCAAAAAAATTTATGAGAAAACCTATTCTCGGAGGAAAGTTTTTATCAAAAAATTTAATGTGAATTGAAATTGAACTTCTTATTTTTCTGAATAGTTTTTAATTTTAATTATGCACAAAAAAAATTCCAACAAAATGATAATTTAATCAAAAGTTATAAGCGTTCTCAATTAAATCTGATACATTCGGTATAGTAGTGAGTCAATCATACAGTTTATCAATATTTCTTCTGCAATAAAAATCTGGTGGTCAAGATTAATGAATGAGAGCAAAAATGTCTTTATAAATATATTTATCAGAATCTTATGTTGATTTTATAATTGTTAATTTATTTAACTATAGTTAATGACGCACTTTTAATAGCTCGTAAAGTTTGTTTTTAACCATTCATAATGAATAATTTTTACATAAAACAAAAATGAACACTCATATAACATTTATAGATACATAAGCTTCGTAATTAGGTATAAGGCCAATACACAAATTAGTGTATTAAACAAAAATCTCAAATACTAGTAAACTTATTTCAATATAAAGCAAATGACATATTAACATTGGCCCACTGAAAAATTCATTATTAAACTTGTGTAAACTATCAAAATGTGATAATATTACTTATTGATAATGCCATTAGGTGATAAGGTCACTAGGGGTATATAAAGGTGCTTTTTTTAGCCGAGGTGTAAATTTGTGTTTAGCGTTGAAAATGGTAACATTGTTTTCGAAATACATATCCGCGATCTTTCAGTAATTTTTTGTGGATTTTTCAGTTTAATATTTAAAGAAAAATGTTTAACGCTTTATAAGCTTATTATATATAAGCCTCCCCAAAGAAGGAGGTTACTAAATCATTGATACTCCGAGACGGGTGGTTTGCACATTGCCGGAAAGGGGTATGGCGACTTCAATTACTGAAATGATCTCTCGTCCGGCAAATGAAGCCGTTCGTGATCGAGAATCGAACCACTACCGCTTTACCGACTCGGCCACGCCCACCTCTAATATTTCAATATTTTTTAGTGTTAAATTAATAATATTTTTGATATAGTTTTAATTTTAAGTAATATTAACCACAAGTGATCAATTTTTATGATAAAATTAAAATTAACTTAATTACATTTATTAAGATTGTTAACAAACATACATTTATTGTAAATATAAATTTGAATACTCTATTTAATTACTATTATTAATATTATTCAATATCATATTTTTTATGTATAAGTCATATTTACCTGGGAAAGAGACGGTCACAGTTCAACCTCCGCCAACCTTGTGTTGACTCTTTGAGTAAATGATCTAAAGCTCGTTCAACAGGAAATTCACCCATCATCAATCGTAATCCCAAACTAAAAAATATATTATAATTTATTAAAATTAGAACATAAAAATTATAAAATCAATATAACAAATTTTCAAACATTATAGTTCAAATTTAAATGTCCCATTCTAAACTTAGAAAACATTCAAAGTAATGATTAAATAAATAGATTAGTAAACTATTTTTAAAAATTCATTTTTACACGTGATTTTATTCAATAGAATAATCTTTATGTGTAGCTAAAGATAACATACAAAAAAAAAAGTTATTAAAAGTAGAAATCAGGTTATTGTACCAGTGCATTTATTTATTCATTAATGTGAGTAAATAATATTTAAAATATTTATCATATCTGTAGTGACATCAAAAGTTATTACAAATTTATTACAAAAGTTAAATATTTATATTTTGTTTATAAATTCAAATTTAAAAAGTTGAATTTTTTTATATTACAATATTTACTTATATTCATTTTTATAAAAAAAAAATATTATTTTTTTAGCTTCGATGCGAATCTGAGAAGATATTAATTTTACCATGATGTGTTTTATTTAATGTCTGTTGCCACTTTTTCTCAGCTCTCACTGGACCGATTTCTTTCAACAATACTTCAAAAGATCACAAATTGTATCTAGTTGAAGACATTACCCTTAAAAATTCAAAAATTTTCCCTCGTTCCCCGCAAATAGGGGAAATCTCCAAAAAAATTATAAATTTAAAAATCGGTAATTTTTGTAATTTTTTTCACTTTTTTTCTTAAAACTTCCATAACTTTTTCAAATATTTACAAATCAAAATAAAATTTTTTTATATTGAAACCTTAGGTAATTTCCTTTCATTTGATATAATTTTTTTTTTTTTTTAAATCTAACACACTTATTCTGCTCCCAGGGGGGATTTAAAATAGCACCTTTTTTACAAAAACTTTTTCAACTTACTTTTGAAAATTTTTCGGAAATAGTGTGTCCTTTCAACATATATAAAATTAAAGCTTATGTCATGTACTATAAAATTAAAAAAAAAATTTGTCCCGACGACCTATCTTCTATGCGCAAATGGCAACCGTATTAAAAAATATGCTATTTTTCTATTAAAATTCTATTCATGTTAATATTATTTTACTAAGTGGTTTTTTTTGTGGTTACAATTTATTTTGCCAGCCCTCACTTGACCTACTTTTATCAACGATACGTCAAATGATTACAATTCGTATTTAGAATATATTACCCTTAAAATTTGAAAAAAATTTCCTTATTCAAAAGTAGCTTAACCAGCTTTATCCATACAAACAATTAAAATCTTTCATTTTTAATATTTTTATAGTATATTGACGAATTAGATTTGATATTATATAATTTTACTTTGAAATTTATAAAAATTTGTTTACTTTGTGGATTTAATTTGTGTGTGCTACTACCAGTCTATAACATTCCAAATTTTTTCGTAACATGTTGCTATATAAATCATAAATTTAAAAAAGAAAAATGATTTTTAGTTTTACCTGAATTTAACAATGGATGAAAAAAAAAATTTACTATAAATAGTAATTATAAAATTTCCTGATTGCATATTAATCTTAATAATAACATTTTTTCTATTTAATGATGTCAATTTCAAACTTGCAAATTGAGCTAAAAGTTATGATAATAAATTCATTTTTTTTTATTATAAAATTTCACTTTAAAAGACAAAAAAAAGTAGGTTAAAAATTATTACTTTTAACATATTAAAAATCAATAATAATTTAAAAACAATTAATTATAAAAATTNTATGAGAAATAATATTTTTTAATAATCCCTTTTTCATTCGACATACTTTATCTTAATCAGGGTATTAATAAGAAACTAGCAGATAATGTAGCTTTTGTAATTATCCACCAATTTCTTAGAATTAAACACTATCTACTGATTTGCATCGAAGCGTTTCTTATGATAGTGATTTTAATCACTGTCAGATTAAATCTATACTGGACCCAACTATGCCACATCCCACTGTGCCGCGACCCCACTGTGCTGGGTTTTTTATAAAGGCAAAGTAATGTTTCAATAAATAATTTTATTTATTTATTATATTTACAACCAATATTTAAATGGATTTAATGAATCAAATAGTAAGCTGAAACTAGTAGCAATATTCAGTTCAATTTATTATGCACTTCTGAGTCCGTTATTAGACTGAACATGAAAAACCTATTCATTAAATACAATTTGTCTTATTAATTTTATATAAAAACATCTAAATCTTTTGCATACAATTTTTTTAATTTTATTTTTATCATATACATTTTTTTTATCCGTTCACTTTAAAAGACTTTTTACTACATATACAATTTTTACATCGTCACGCTCATTTTATATTTAAATTTTAAAATTTATTAATTTAAATTGAATAATATTTTGATAATTTGAATTTCTTATTAAAATTTTATATTTTTAACAGTGTACAAGTCTTTTTAAAAGTCAAATTTTAAGTTCAATTGAAATTTCAAAAGCGATTTAATAATATTTTTAGTTTCTGTAATATTTGTTCAACGTGTACTAAAATAAATTCAATATGAACGAATTAATATAAGAAAAATTGAGAAAACTGAAATTATTTTCATACCTAGCCTAGCTATAATGAATTATAAAGGGTAATTTTTTATTATAACCCACTCTAATACTTACAGAATAAAAATAATTTAAGCATTTACTTAATCGTTCATGTATTATACAAGTATACATGTATATTAACAAAAATGTTTAAATAATTTATACTCTGTAATTAATTGAGTGGGTTATGATAATAAAATCACCCAGTATATTGTAAATAAGTACATTAGTCTAAACATTTTAAATGAAAGAACAAATAATATTAATTGTGTATAACAACTGTTCAGCCCAAATATAATGTTCAAGTTACCTCTTTTTAATCAAATAATTTCAAAAAATTTTCATGTCCTTTCAAAATTAAAAATAAATGTATACATTTTTGCTTACAAATTTAAAATGCATAATATTTTTTAAATATATGTAGAACCTAATAATTTCCAACAATTTTATTTAGAAAATTAGCAATTAATATACGTATAATTTTATAATATATAATATTCTATCAAATCGATTTTATTTTTTAATTTAAATTCAAACAAAAATGTTCATAATATGGTTTTTTTACTCAACTTTATTCTTTAATTTTGCCAGTTCCGTCATACCACCTTTTTATCAAGAAAAATCATTACAAGGGAGATATGAAACACTCCATAAAATAAATGTGGGATACACGAAAAATTATAACTACAATGGAATTATAACTTACAGACATGGAAAAATGTTAAGACCGATCGATAAATTAAAAAATGCAATTGATAGTCAAAGGGAAGATTTGAAATGTGGTATTAAGCTTATAGCTTTATCAATTGCACGTGTGAGTGAATTACAAATGAAAGGTAAGCCATTGAGAAAAAAATCTTATTATAAAAAAATCAATGAGGCTGTTCATTCAAATGCGCAGTTATTTAGTTCGATTTCTCATAATTTATTAAAAATGCTTTACAACATCGGTTATACTGATTTATATGACATGTGGCTTTTTTACTCTTTTATACATATTGACCTATTGAATGACTCCGTCAATTCATTGTGGAAAATAATTGAAATAAACAAAATGATTATTCGGGTACTTGGTCATTCTACCCAGATGTGTAAAGGAACAAGTATTTTTAATATTACTAAGTCTGAAAATCAATTTAATGATATTTATCAAACGTTATCTGACGATAGTTCGCCAGATTATAATAAAGTCGACGAGTTAAAAGTTCAACTTAGTAATTCTATAGATAATTTTTTGAAAACATACTACAATGAGCCGATAGTTACAAACAATAGTAAAATAATTAACGTGACATGTTTGTATTTTAATGGCTTTATTGAAATATTAGGATTTTTCCAATACCATTATATTTTTAATATTAATTGGGGTAATGCCATTAGTCAACTAAATGACACTTATTATGATTCATTATCAATAAAAATATTCGAAGATGGTTTTGATTCCATTAGAAAATATCAGTCCATATTTAAATCACAAATGAAAATAATCATGTTACGATTTATATATACTCACATAGTATTAGTTAATAATGTTATTGAAAAAAATAAAGTAAAATTTTTGGGTGAATATGACATTGTTTTGAAAAAGTACTTAACACAAGAGATGAATGAGATGAAACAAATATTGAAGACATTTGTAAAAGTTTTAGGTTTACATGACGACATTTTTTTTAAGTTTTTAATTAAATTTCTGGATTGTGACATAAATACATTTTATAGAGACAATAATAATGTACTAGATAAATTGAACAAACAGCAAGAAAAACTGCTATCTTCATTTCAAATTCCTACTGTTAAAGATTCTGGCTCGAAAAACGCAATAAATACAATTTCCATTGATCATGATTTAATTACCAAAACATACTCACATCTTTTAACATCTTTATTTATGGGAAAAATTGATAAACCTCCTCATTTAATGAAATATATATACGAAAATATTAGATGCGCTAATACTTTTTCAAAGCACTTGGAATATGTACTCGAGAACATTGATTTTGAAATGATGGACTCATTATTTTCTTCTGCAGCGAACAGTGATGATAATTGTAAAATTATGACAAACAACTCTATAACCAAATGTTTTTCCGAAAATATTTTTAAACCCTTGTCAGTTTTTAATAAAGTTATAAATTTACTTACTAATATAGTGAAATAACGCACACCAAAAATTATATATTTTTTTTTATTTATCTATACTTTAGTTTTTAATTTAAATCCTTAATTTTATTCTACTGTTTATTAATTGTAATCAATAAAAAGTACATATTTGTTATATAAAGTATGATGTGTAATAAAAGTTAAAGCATGAATTATTGCATTGCTCATTATTAAAGTACGGATTTTTATGCAAATGCATATTTTTCAATAACCTATTAAGAATAATTTTAATTAAAAATATAGATATTTCACAAAGTATACATTCTATTTATAACT